ACAATTTGTAGGTAGGTCTGGAGGGAAAATGTGGAAGAGAGCAAAGGAAGGGGTGACATTGTCCAAAAAGAAATGTAGTCTTTGGGCTGGGAAGGTGGCTCAGTGGTAGAGCGCTTGCCTTGCATGCATGAGGCCCTGGGTTTGATTCCTCAGCACCACATAAGCAAAAAGAAAAAAAGCCAGAAGTGGCGCTGTGGTTCAAGTGGTAGAGCGCTAGCCTTGAGCTGAAGAGCTGAGGGACAGCGCCCAGGCCCAGAGTTCAGGTCCCACGACCAGACCCAAAAAATAAATAAATAAATAAACAAACTAAATGTAGTCTTTGCCTGACTTTGTAACTGTAACCCCTCTGCACATCACCTTTATCATAATAATTTTTAAAAGCACTTTTTTTTTGGGGGGGAGGGGGGTTCGGTCGTGAGGCCTGAACTCTGGGCCTGAGCGCTGTTCCTCAGCTCTTCAGCTCAAGGCTAGCGCTCTACCACTTGAGCCACAGCGCCACTTCCGGCTTTTTTCTTTTTGCTTATGTGATGCTGAGGAATCGAACCCAGGGCCTCAGGCATGTAAGGCAAGCACTCTACCACTGAGCCACCTTCCCAGCCCTAAAAGCCCTTTTAAGAGGAAACTGTAATAGTTCAAATAAATAAACTGTATTTAGGAGGAAGTGAAAGGTTTTTTAAGTTTATAGATTATCAGTTTTAAAAAGCAGGGATGGAGCCAGGCGCTGGTGGCTCACGCCTGTAATCCTAGCTACTCAGGAGGCTGAGATCTGAGGATCGCGGTTCAAAGCCAGCCAGGGCAAGAGAGACCGTGAAACTCTTATCTCCAATAAACCACCAGAAAACCGGAAGTGGCGCTGTAGCTCAAGTGGTAGAGCACTAGTCTTGAGCTGAAGAGCTGAGGGACAGCGCCCAGGCCCAGAGTTCAAGCCCCACGACTGACAAAAAAAAAAACAACAAAAAAACAGCATGGATGGAGATGACTCAAGTGAGTGAGAGAGCATCTGCCTAGAAGCACAAGCTTTTGAGTTCCAACTCCAGTACTACAAAAGAAAACAAAAAGCCAGCACCATGCTGCCCTCTGTCTTGTTACGTCTGTGTGGGCAGTGGGCACAGCTAGACAGGCTCCCATTCTCTATGGCGTGGCTGAGATAGCTGCATTCTGCCTTTTGCTGTCAGTTGTTACAGGCATGGGAGATAAGTAAGGCTTGAGAATAGCAAGTGTTTTGTACAAATCCTGGGGGATGACCAAGGTGAGCTCTAATACACATGTCTCCCAGACATCTCAGGAAGGTGTGCCATCCAGGGAAGCGTGCTTTTCAGAGTCCTCAGCATGCCAAATGCATGGCTAGAACATTCTTTACCTGGAGCTCAGGTGCCCTCCACAAATAAGGGGAGGGGCAGAAGGAAGCCCTGGAATGATGGCTCAGTGCTGTCTGAGTCCTCAGCTATACCCACTTCCCTCCTCAGCCCTCCAGACAGAGCCCATGGCAAAGGAGCTTATTTTTTCCTACTTTTACATATTTAATAACTTTCTTTTTTTGGTAAGTCAGAGGGCTTGATCTCTGGGCCTGGGCACTGTTCCTCAGCTCTGAGCTCTTCAGCTAGAGCTCTACCACAGAGCCACTTCCCATTTTCTGGTGATTAATTGGAGATAAGAGTCTCATGGACTTTCTTGCCCAGGCTGGTTTTGAACTACGGTCCTCAGATCTCAGCCTCCTGAGTAGCTAGGATTACAGGTGTGAGCTACCGGAGCTCAGCTTTCCCTGTTTTGTTTGTTTGTTTTTGGTCCGGTTGTGGAGCTTGAACTCTGGGCCTGGGCGCTGTCCCTCAGCTCTTCAGCTCAAGGTTAGTAGTCTACCACTTGAGCCACAGCGCCACTTCCGGCTTCTTTTCCTTTTTGTTTATGTGGTGCTGAGGAATCGAACCCAGGGCCTCAGGCATGCAAGGCAAGCACTCCACCACTGAGCCACCTTCCCAGCCCTAGCTTTCCCTGTTTTCTGCAGTGGCTTTGCAGGCTCTTCTGCTGAACATCGAGGCATTCGGGGCTGTCACACCCCTGGCAAGGTTAGGGATTACTATCTCATGCCTCTGGGTGTGTGGTAAAAGGTGTGCAGATAGAACCAGCACTCAGCAGAGCTCCCTAGTCCAGCACTACTTACCCCCTATAAACTCAGACATGGGATGGGGCCCTTATTCCTTTTTGGGGGATGGGGACTCTAAGGTCTCAGAGTCAGCTTGCTGATAAAGGCCCTGCCCTGTGTCCCTACCTATTTACAAAAAAACCTGTTAAAGTTTTTATTTCCCTAATGCTGTATTGTTTTCCTGGTGTGACATACAAATTCCTACCCTAGTTGCCACAGTCTCTCTACACTCTTTCTCAGAATGTGACTCTCCCCCCAATTCTTTTTTTTTGGGGGGGGGTCCAGTCGTGGGGCCTGAACTCTGGGCCTGTCCCTCAGCTCTTCAGCTCAAGGCTAGCACTCTACCACTTGAGCCACAGCGCCACTTCCGGCTTTTTTTTTCTTTTTGCCTATGTGGTGCTGAGGAATCGAATCCAGGGCCTCATGCAAGACAAGCGCTCTACCACTGAGCCACCTTCCCAGCCCCTCCTCCCCAATTCTTGTAGTCCACATAACAGCTTCACAACACTTCCTCTCAGAACTGACTCTACCCATAATCCATGTAATTATGACCCATGTGATCGCCCATGTGATCCATGTGACTACCTCCTAAAATTCTGTTTAAATTCAGCCTACACCTGCTCATGGCTGCTGCCTCCATTCCTGCTTGGAGCAGTCCAGCACACCTGTCCCCCAATAAAGCCTTGAGTTTGTGTTGGTCGCTCTCATTTGCCTCTCCTTTCTTACAGGGACTATAGGATCCATGCATTAGAGAATACAAAATCTGTTCATCTTAGTTACACAGTTTGACTTTACATATTTTCAGTCCCTGATTTCCTTTTTCATTGCTGGGGATCAAACTCGAGATTTGCACATGCTAGGAAAATGCTCTTCGACTGAGCTGCATGCTCAGCCTTTGGGTTCCTTAAAGTTCTTCTGCTTGCTAGTCACCGTATGAATCTTCATCTGGGCTTTGGCTGGAGGAGTCATCCAAGAGTTCTCCGGAGGGCTGGGAAGGTGGCTCAGTGGTAGAGCACTTGCCTTGCACGCATGAGGCCCTGGGTTCGATTCCTCAGCACCACATAAGCAGAAAAAGAAAAAAGCTGGAAGTGGCACTGTGGCTCAAGTGGTAGAGTGCTAGCCTTGAGCTGAAGAGCTGAGGGACAGTGGCCAGGCCCAGAGTTCAGGCCCCACAACCAAACCCCCCAAAAAAGAATTCTCCAGAATGTTTAGAGTGACATACCATTCCAATGGTTCATACAATTAACCTTGAGACTTTCAGCACATGGGTGGAGCATGCAGTCCTGATTTGGAACATCCAGAAGCTGCAGTTCCTACCCTCTGGAGCCAGCCTGTGTCAGCCCAAAGACTCTCTATTATCATTTGAATACTTTTGTCCCCTCCAATACTCCTGTTGGAAACTCAATCCCCAATGCCAAGTGTTGGAGGTAGAGCCTCTGGGGATGTGTTTGGATTAATCCAATTTTAAAAAGGATTCTGTGAGAAGCAGGGTGCTGGTAGCTCATGTCTGTAATCGTAGCAATTCAAAAGGTTCAGATCTGAGGATCATAGTTCAAGTCCAGCCTGGGCAGAAAAATCTGTGAGACACTTATTGCCAATTAACCAGAAAAAAAGTTGGAAGTGGAGCTGCGCTATAAACCATAGAGTACCAGCCTTAAGTGAAAAAGCCAAGCATGAGTGAAAGGACCTGAGTTCAATTCCCAGGACTGGCACGAAAAAGGAGGGAGGGCTTGTGTGGGTGTTTTCTCTCTTCTGCCCTTCTGCCTGGCTTCCTATGGTTTTCCTTATAGAAAACCAGCATCAAAGCTCTGGATGGAAGCAGGGCAACTGGGGTTTCATCTGCCCGTGCCTTACTTTGGGGATTCCCAACTTTCAGAACTTTGGGAAATAAATCTCACTACAAAGTACCCAGTGTGTGATGCTTGGTTACGGCTGCACTCATGGACTTAAGACACTCCTCACTGCCAGTCTCATATCTGACTTCTTTAGATGTGGTTGGCAAAGGAGGCAATATCTCTTCTGCCTTATTTGCTTTTCAAAAACTCCAAGCTCCACCTTTTCCTTCTTTGCCAAGGACACCACTTGCTCTTACCTGAAGTTAGGCAGGAGTCAGGCTTCACCTTCACAATGACCACCTTTTCCCCTCCTTCTTCCCCAACCTATGGCCTTTATAGCCTCCAGGAGGTAGGCCCAGTGAAATAGCAGTAGAAGAAAATGGCCCTTTGTCCTGAGGGAACACCATTAGAATTAAGTTAATCACTGACCTGGGTGCTACAGAAGGGAAGTTTACAAAAAGGAAGTACACTGAGTTCACAGAGTCAGGCTCAGCTTAGGAGAGGAAAATGGGATGTGGACAGTGGGAAGATGTCTGCCTCCCCTCCACACTCACCTCTCACAGGCAAGCATGGGCAGGCTAAGAGAGCTGAGTGGGCCTGTGGTCTCCAGGTCATGATATCTCTAATGGATGACTCCATGGTTCTGTGATGTCACCAAAAGGAGAAGAATGGGGAGCTGGGCTCAGCTCCATCTGCTCCGATTTTTCTCTCCTCTGAATTGTGATAGTTTTTGGGGTGAGGGGAGGTGAGCTGAGCGACCCATGTGACCCAGCTCAGTCTCCCCTCAGGCCACCTCAGCCCCCACCACATTGATGGAGAGAAATTAGCCAGTGAGAGTCATTTCTGCCAAAAGCAGAGCATCTTTTATGAAGCTCAACTGATCTAAAGAACAACCATGAAAAACAGCTTTTTATTCTTCTGTTTCTAGAAACTTAAAGAACAAGAGAACTCATTCAAACTGAGCTGGAAAGATGTTTGGACAGCCCGTGATCGTGGGAATGGACCCGTCTTCTAAAACGAACCCTATGAGTTTTGAAACTACCGCGATCACCTTCTTCATCATCCTTCTAATTTGCTTCATGTGCATCCTCCTCTTATTGGTGGTGTTTTTATACAAATGGTATAAGTCCATATTGGTAAATTGGGATCCTAGTAAATGAATCTAGATAATATATGAAGCAGTTTAAAAATAGAACAAGTTAATGCCTCAGCTATCTGCTTTTTCCTTGTGAGGGTTCTAGAAATGCTAATTTCCTTTTTAAAAGTGAACATCTCACATCCCATGTTAGAATTAAGACTATTCTTCCTTTTCTGATTTTTAAGAAAATTTATTGTAAAGGTGATAAATAGGGGGGTTACAGTTACAAAAGTTACGAGTACATTTCTTTTTAAACACTGCTCCTTTTCTGATTGTGTGTGTGTGTGTGTGTGTGTGTGTGTGCTGGTTCTGGGGGCTTGAATTCAGGGCCTGGACACTGTCACTAAGCTATTTTGCTCAAGGCACTAGTGTTCTACCTCGTCAGCTGCAACTCCACTTCTGACTTTTTGGTAATGAATTGGAGATAAGAGTCTCACAGACTTTCCTGCCCAGGCTGACTTTGAATTGGAATCCTCAGATCTCAGCCTTCTGAGTAGCTAGGATTATAGGAATGAGCCACCAGTGCCTGGCCTGATCTTTTGTTTGTTTTCAGTTTTCAAGGCAAGAAAAGAGAAAGAAAAGAAAAGTCAACTTGTGTAAATACTAATGGAGATGAAGATTGTTTAACTACTAATGTGGAGACAAACAATCAGGGAAATAAAAAAAAGTGAGTCTGGGCTGGGAAGATGGCTCAGTGGTAGAGCGCTTGCCTTGCATGCTTGAGGCCCTGGGTTCGATTCCTCAGCACCACATAAGCAAAAAGAAAAAATCCGGAAGTGGCACTATGGCTCAAGTGGTAGAGCGCTAGCCTTAAGCTGAAGAGCTGAGGGACAGTGCCCAGGCCCAGAGTTCAGGCCCCACGACCGGACCCAAAAAAAAAAAAAAAAAAAAGTGAGTCTATGTGAGGTTATAGCAGGTGATAATATTGATGAAGATGAATGAAAATTTAAAACTCTGTTATTTTTTTCTGTGTTCGCAGTACTATGGACTAAGCTTGGGGCCTCATTTGCTAAGCAATTGCTTTGCCACTTAAACTATTCCCTGAGTCCTTTCACTTTTAGTTTGATGTTTTTCAGATAGGGCTTACACTATTTCCTCCCACTGGCCTCAAACCATGATCCTCCTGTTCTCTATCTCCCTGGTAGCTGAGATTACGGATGTTAGCCACCATGCCTGGTCTGTTGATTGATTTTTCTAGGACCCTAACTCAAGCCATAAATTTGAATGCACCACCAAGGCCTAGCATTCTTGTCCAGAGACGGAGTAAAGAAGTGTTGGCCACACCCTTAGAAGAGGACAAAATGAAAGACACACAAGAGCCTGAGAATACTGGAGAAAATGATCAGCAGGTGCCATGCTTCATTCATTCTCAAGTTTCATAATGTCTGATTGAAAAGGAAAACAATTTAGCTTGGTATCAGGGGTGCTGTGGCCTGTCACTTAAGTTTGTACCTGGAATGAGTCCAGTGTCCACAGTCATTTAAACAATTTTTCTGATCCTATCATTTCCTGTTATTTAAGCCAATTGTCCATGCCAAGCCTAAATGTTTACTCATTTTACATTCTTACATTTCCTGTTTTCCTGAACAACTCTCTCTTCATTTTGTTTTTGTTTTTCTTTTTTGTCAGTCATGGGACTTGAACTCTGGGCCTGGGCGCTGTCCCTCAGCTCTTCAGCTCAAGGCTGGTGCTCTACCACTTGAGCCACAGCGCCACTTCTGGCTTTTTCTGCTTATGTGGTGCTGAGGAATCAAACACAGGGCCTCATGCATGCAAGGCAAGCGCTCTACCACTGAGCCACCTTCCCAGCCTTCATTTTGTTTTTCTTAAACTTCTAGGATCTCAGAGTTATGAAAGACCTTACAGGTCTCTCAAGAATCTACCTAGCTCACATTACACATGTAAACATGAGACAAGTTCATCTCCCCACTGTGGCTAATCTCAGGGCCAGCAAGCACCTATGATCCTGAACTAGAGTAGTCCTTCTTCCATAGCACCCAAACTATGCCTGGACCTTCATGAGCTCATCTCCAGGGCCCTAATGACAACAAAGCATACACCCACTCCACATAACCATAGGTTTCACTTTGTCAGCAAAGAACAGTTGTGTCACTGTAGACTTCGATAACTGTAGAAATGTGGCAGTGTGGCCAGGATGGATAGTGCTTTCCTAAATCATTTACAAAATCTTTTTCTGTTTCTTGTTCACAAGGCACATTGATACTGTATTTTTAGAAGCAGTGCTCACGTGTTTATAAATTGCTCACTTACGCTGTTTGTCCCCTTTCTCTTGCAGGGTAAAATTCAGAAAGTGCCCAGAATTGTTTCTAGAAGTCCTTCAGTTGTTGAACTCCAAAAAAGACCTTTAAAAGGAGTGACATTTTCTAAGGAGGTTATTGTTGTGGATCTTGGGAATGAATACCCTGAACCTCGAAGCTATCCTCGAGAACATAAAGAGAGAAAATGAAGCTCAAAATAAGGTTGAGAGCAAAAGAAGCATCACCTTGGACTAACACTGAAATGACCGAGGGTACTAAGTCATGTTGAAACAGCAAAATGATGGTAATTAATTAAGCAAATACGAAGTGTTTTACCTCTGTGCAGCAAGAAGTGAGCCATGTGCAAAATTCTGTAAGTAAAACACTCAGAGCTTGAATATACTTTAAAAAAAAAACCACCTCAAATCTGAGTTCAGTAAACTGAGTATATTAGGTGTCCCTGAAACTCTCTACTCAAACACTGTCCTAACACGCGAATAAAGGTTCTTGTGTTTATACAGATGTCTATTAGGTGAATTATATTCTCTGGATGCTCTAGCACAAACATTTATGAGCAAATAACATGACAATTACCATCATAGAAACTTCCAGTAATTTGGGTTAGGGTCTCTTGGGTAGTCCTCATTGAACTCAGTCCTGAAATCTTTCTTGTACTGACAACTGCTTTTTAAGATTGGTCTAAAAGCAAATGTCAACTACCAGCAACAAAACATTCTGTTACTTTAGTCAAGTTCTGAGATTACATCTTTCTTGGTTTCTCTAGTCTTGTCTAATTGAGGTATAATGTTACATCTTTCTTGGTTTCTCTAGTCTTGTCTAATTGAGGTATAATGTTACATCTTTCTTGGTTTCTCTAGTCTTGTCTAATTGAGGTATAATGGTGTGCTTCTGTAGTTTCAGCTACTTAGGAGGCTGATGCAAGGAGGATCATTTGAATCCATAGGTTTGAGGCCAGTCTAAGCAACATAATAAGAATTCATCTTGAAATGGAGAGGCAGGCAGACAGACAGACAGAGAACAGGAAGAAGGAGGGAAGAGAGGAGAGAAAGGGAATTAGGGAAGGAGACAAGTTTCCTGTCCTTGTCCAGAATATGATAGTACATATCAAACCACTGTAGTATTTATGATACATTTATGAACTTTGTCAGGGGCTATGACAAATAAAAAACAGAAAATATAGCTTTTGACTCAGAGGCTTAGCATATTGTCATGTATATGGGCTATAATTCATTAATGTTTATTGATGATTGGGTAATATGTGCTATAATTAGAATGTGTGACTAATACCTATTGGTAACTAATGACATGCTTTAATGAGAGGAAGCCCCATATTCTGGAACCATAGTGCTAAGAAGAAGAAAAGTAGCTTAACCAAAGGGAAGGACTTGATAATAAAAGATCAGAAGACATAAGCCACGGCAGATGTTGTGTGTGTAGTGTGTGGTGGGCAAAAGTGAGCTAAAGCTCTAGACCTGGCAGTTGCTACGGGGAAGAGTTGAGTAGCATCCCATTTATATGTATCTGTATCTTGTCTCTTCGTCTGTGGACACTTCAGTTGCTTCCATCTTGTGAATAATGCTGCTAGGAATATTAAAAGTTGTTGCTGTTGTTGTTATGGGGCTTGAACTCAGGGCCTGGGCACTGTTCCTGAGCTTTTCTGCTCAAGGCTAGCTCTCTACCACTATGAGCCACAGCTCTACTTCTAGTTTTCTGGTGGTTATCAGAGATGAAAGTTGCCCAGACCTTTCTGCCTAGGCTAATTTTTTTTTTTTGTTTTGTTTTTGGTCATGGGCTTGAACTCTGGGCCTTGGCACCGTCCCTCAGCTCTTCAGCTCAAGGCAAGCGCTCTACCACTTGAGTCACAGCGCCACTTCCGGTTTTCTGGTGATTAATGGAGATAAGAGTCTCGTGGAAAGCCAGTGGCTCACGCCTGTAATCCTAGCTACTTAGGAGGTTAAGATCTGGGTATCACAATTCAAAGCCAGCTTGGGCGGGAAAGTCTGGGAGACTCATCTCCAATTAACCACCAGAAAACTGGACCAAAAAAAAAAGTCTCATGGACTTTCCTGCCTGGGCTGGCTTTGAACCATGATCCTCAGATCTCAGCCTCCTGAGTAGCTAGGATTACAGGCGTGAGCCACCAGCACCTGACATTAAAAGTTTCTGATCTAAGAAAGTTCAGACTTATCTAGATAACCATTTATAGCTGTGTGTTGAAATATAATTTAGTTGCCTAGATCCTTGGTATTTATGAAACCAAGTTATTTTGTCATACAGGGAGGAAGTACTACTTAAATGATGTGTTTGTGTCAAGGGAAAGCCAATTTCCTGGTGACTGAGGGTACTGAATATAACAGAGGTAAAGGGTGGAGAAACTGGCTACTAGTACCTGTAGTAGTACAGGCTCACAGACTTGGACTTCTGGATTGTTGACATCACTGTAATGTGAATCTTAGTGTGGTGAACAGAACAATCTGATGCTTTATTTCCCTTATAAGCAAAAGCTCCAAGAGTCAATACCAAGTTACATGTGTCTACACTATTTTAAGTAGCACTTCCCCTTACCCCTCCTTGCCCCTTTACTTTAGAGTTTAGTTACTGAAGAGTAAAAACTAGGAAGTCAGTTTAGAGATGACTTTAGTGGTAATTCAGGTATGAAGAATGTGGATCAGCAGGTGGGAGGTGATAAATGCAATGAGAATGTGAAGTATACATTCTCATTATGAATGTGAAATACACACCACACTTTTTTTGTTAGAGGTAGGAATAATGAAAGGAGGAAGAAAGGTGGCTCTTCCTGAGTTTGGGTATGTGATCAACAGATATAGCAAATTCCAGTGAAATGACTGGATAAAAATTGTCATAAGTATGGGGTGGGAATGGGGCTTAGTGGTAGAGTGCTTGATGGAATGGCACTGTGGTTCAAGTGATAGAGCACTCACCTTGAGTTGAAGAGCTCAGGGACAGCTCCCAGGCCCAGAGTTAAAAAGAAAGAAAGAACCTACAAAAAATGTGATATTAGCTCTGTTTATTTTGAAGTGCTGTTAAAAGGTTCAACTAAAGATGCTTAGTAAAGTCTAGGCATGATGATGTATACCTTGAATCCTAGCACTTGAGAGGCTGAGACGGGAGGATCTCCAGTTCAAGGCCACTCTGGAGTATGTAGTGAGACCTTCCCCACCCCCCACCCCCGACAGTCTTGGGGCTTGAACTCAGGGCCTGAGCACTGTCTCTGAGCTACTTTTGCTCAAGGCTAGCACTCTACCAGTTGAGCCATAGCACCACTTCTGGCTTTTTCTGTTTATGTGGTACTGAGGAATTGAACCCAGGGCTTCATGCATGCAAGGCAAGCACTCTACTAGACCACATTCCCAGCCCATAGTGAGACCTTTTTAAATGCTCATTCTGACTTCATAAACAAATCAAAATCAAAACAATAAGGTAGGATTTTCCCTCTATCAAACTTTCAGATATTGGAAACATGATACTTTTAAAGGATAAAGAGGTGTGTAAAAGGTATTCTCATGAGCTAGAAGTATATAACTGGAGGATAACTTATCAAAATTAACAGTATACATACCAGTCAGGGGCTGGTAGCTCACACTTATAATCCTAGCTACTCATGAGACTAAGATCTGATGATTGTGGTTTAAAGCCACCTGGGCAGGAAAATCTATGAGACTCATTGCTCCAATTAACCTCCAAAAAGCCAGAAGCAGAGCTATGGCAAAAATGGTAGAGTGCTAGCCTAAAGTTAACTAAAACCCCAAAACAAAACAAAACAAAAAAACCCCAAGCAACTCAGGAACAGAGACCAAGGCCCTGGGTTCAAGTCCCAGGACCCATACACATACATACACACACACACCAAGTATACACACGCTTAGGCCCAGTAATCCCTCTGCCTGGGATTTACCCCATGATATACTTGCATACTATATGACTGTGTCAGCTGCCTGCTTCCTCCATAGCAAGGCTCTGGAGGAACAACGAGAAGAAACATGTGGGCTTGCACACTAGTAAAACGGTGGGTGTTTGGGGGTAGCCTCACCCTGAAATGACACCCTTCACTGCTGCAGTGTTTTGTTCATTAAAAGTGAGTTCAGAGAGGGACCATGCATGGGCATCAAATCCAAGAGTCAGGGAAAGGTGAGGCCAGCCAAGAAGCAGCTCCCATGGAGATTCATGTGGGCACTGCCCAGGTGACTGGGAAAGATAAATATGAATCCTTGCCTAGAGAAGTTGGCTTTCACAGAGGTCAGGAGCGCTTGTGAGACACTGTCTGTCTGTCTCAGATACCCTTTTATCAACGCTACTGAAATGTCTACTATACTGTACTCACAGAGGGAAGCTTGACTCTGAGATGTGAAGGAGACATGAAGGAAGTTTTCTTTTCTTTTTTTTTTTTGGGGGGGGGGGTCCGGTCGTGGGGCCTGAACTCTGGGCCTGGGCGCTGTCTCTCAGCTCTTCAGCTCAAGGCTAGCGCTCTACCACTTGAGCCATAGCGCCACTTCCGGCTTTTTTCTTTTTGCTTATGTGGTGCTGAGGAATCGAACCCAGGGCCTCAGGCATGCAAGGCAAGCGCTGTACCACTGAGCCACCTTCCCAGCCCCGAAGGAAGTTTTCCAGAGAAAGAATTTGAGTAAGCGTTGGTGATGGAGACAACGCAGGGAAAAGCCCACCAGGTAGATGGATCTGAAAGTGAAAAGGCCCAGGTGTGCCGGGGAGCAGCAGCTGTGTGCTGGGCAGGGTGCAAGCGGTAGAGTGGCCGTAGATGTGAGGCTGGAAAGCTAGGATGGACCAAATTCCCAGGGAGCCTTGCCAAAAGGTGTTCATGAGGGGCCATTGAAGGACGTAAAGCAAGACAATTCTGTTAGGTGTGTTGGAGATTGCGGGGCCAGAGGACCACTAGGAAGACTGAACAAGATCTAAGAAGTAACAGATGAATAGTTGAAGCCAAATGAGATGGAATAGAGCAGAGAAGACTGAAATACACAAGAGGGGTAAGCAAGATTGCACTACTGCACATCTAAAAAAATATGCTGGGTATAGTGGTGTGCACACCTGTAATCCTAGTTATAAGAGGTGTTGAAATAGGAATATTACCATCAGTGACTGAGGGAAAACCACAAGAGCCTGCATGGAAAATTGAAAGCAAGAAGGGCTGGAGGCATAGCTCAAGTGATAGAGCACTTGTTTAGCAAGCACAAGGCCCTGAACACAAACCTCAACACTACCAAAAAAGTGAGGTGGCACTGGTGGCTCACGCCTGTCATCCTAGCTACTCAGGAGGCTGAGATCTGAGGATCCTGGCTCAAAGCCAGGCCAGGCAGGAAAGTCCGTGAGACTCTGATTTCCAATTTCCAATTAACCAGCAAAAAGCCCAAAGTAGAGATGGGGCTCAAGTGGTAGAGTACCAGCCTTGAGTGAGAGAGCCAGGTAGGAGCATGAGTCCAAGTTCAAGCCTCAGTACTGGCGCGTGTGTGTGCGCGCGCGTGAGCACACACACACACACACACACACACACACACACACACACAAACGGAGTAGGTTGGGAAATGGAAAAAATGTGCCTCTCACATCTCCTGCCAGAGAACATCACTGAAGGAGGACAAGGGCTGCTGTACTCTGAGTCCTATACTGAATTTGTGCCAAGGTCACTTCCAGGTCATCTTATCCTTTGACTGAGGGTGGCATGGATACTACAGCCCCCTTTCTGAAAGAAACTGGACTACACTGGTGGGCAGCACTCATTCTAGGAGTCACCTTTGGCTTGGTGGGAAAGTGCATCCTTCGTGGAGGAGGGAGGGTAAAAGAACATTATGTGCTTGGAGATGTTCTAAGAGGTTTATTTGTATGGATTCAATGAACCACCTATGTGTTTGGGTGTCAGACTCTGCTAGTTGTTTCCGATATCCATGCTTCCCTACTTTATGGGTAATAGAATTCCCAATGTTAGCTGTGCCCATCACTGACCAAAATGAGAACCACATTTCCAAGGCTTCTTAACTGTTATTGCCACGTGTTAAGTTCTGGCCAGTGAGATTTAAGGCGAAATATTGTGCTGGAGGGGTGTGTGTGTGTGTGTGTGTGTGTGTGTGTGTGTGTGTGTGTGTGTGTGTGTGTGTGTGTGTGTGTGTGTGTGTGTGTGTGTGTGTGTGATGTCGGGGTATACTCTTCTCCAGTCCTTTCTCCTTGCTGCTGGTTAAATGAGGACACCCTGACTGGACGCAGGAAGAGCACGATGCACTCTGATGGAAAGTCTTGTGTTCAGGATTGTTGTTAGGTGCCCAGATCCCTAATGACTATATGTCTCCCATACTTGCCACAGGCTGTCAATTTTTACGTGGGATAGTAAAGACTATCTCATTTCTCTATTCCTACTCTCAATGGCATTATTACTTGGTTATGTAGGGGAAAAGTAACCCTCATGGGCTCTTAGTTGGAATGGAGCCCATAAGGAAAAACACTGAGACAAAGTTTATTAATGTATATTTCATAGATGCATGGAAGATACCTAGGGAATGAATAGGTATGAAACCCTACTTACGTAGCATCTTCAACAAATCACAGAGAAATGAAATGATGAAAAGGACTCAATCTCTTGGACTGGCAACTTGTAGAAAGTCAAGTAAAAGGCAGATAAAGGCTGATTAGTAAAGCTTGTGATGCAAGCTCCTCAGTGCAGTCTCCAGGCTTGTAAAGGCTCCAGGCTTGTAAAGGCTCAGTTCATCTGAGTGCTCAGCCTTTGTTCTCCCTGGTGGGAGGGCGACAGGATACCTTTGTCTTCATAAATCCATGCCCTGTTTTGGGGAAATAAGCTTTCCTGTATTTTTTTTTTTCGACCCTGGGGCTTGAACTCAGGGCCTGAACACTGTCCCTATGCTTCTTTTGCTCAAGGCTAGTGCTCTACCACTTGAGCCACAATGCCACTTTTGGTTTTCTTTCTTTCTTTTTTTATTGTGAAAACACCGTACAGAGGGGTTACAATTACATGAGCAAGGTAATGAGTACATTTCTTATCAAGCTTTGTTGCTTCCTCCTCTGTTTCCCCTTCCCATCCCTTCCCATCTCCACCCCCTGCCCCCCCCCCACCAAAGTTGTAAAGTTCATTTTTCGACATAATGTCTTGTACATCTCATTGTTGCAATGAGTCTACCTGTATCCCTATTTAAACAATTTGTTTTTTCCCTTCCTCTCCCCAAATTATACCAACATCAAATACAGTGAAAACAGGAGTTATACCATGGGGGAGGGACATACAAAGCAACAAAGAAATCATCTTATAAATATGTTAGAAACAATAGCAAGGAAAAAACCATTTGAATCCTTATCTTGGGGTTCATTTTGCCTAACATCAACTTATCTGATCATTTCTGCTTGTCTCAGACATATACTAAGTTATTGCAAATAAGGGAAACCAAGGGACCTATGTTTCTTTGGGCTTGGCTTACTTCACTTAATATAATTTTTTCAAGTCTTTCCATTTCCTAACAAATGGGGTAATGTCATTCTTTCTGATGGAGGCACAGAATTCCATTGTGTGTATATATACCACATTTTCTTGATCCATTCATCTACTGAGGGGCATCTGGGTTGGTTCCATATCTTAGCTATGGTAAATAATGCTGCATATAAACATAGTTGTGCTGGTAGCTTTAGTATGGTCTTGTGATCATTTGGGTAAATGCCCAAAAGTGGGATTGCTGGGTCATAGGGGAGCTCTATCTGGTCTTTTGAGGAACCTTCATACTACTTTCCAAAGTGGTTGAACAAGTTTACACTCCCACCAATAATGCAGTAAGGTTCCCTTCTGTCCACATCCCCTCCAGCATCTGTTATTATAGTTCTTGATTACAGCCATTCTAACTGGGGTGAGGTGGTAGCACTTCTGGTTTTCTGGTGGTTGGTTGGAAATAAGAGCCTCATAGCCTTTCCTGCCTGGGCTCCTCCTCAGGAGCTAGGATTATAGGTGTGAGCCACCAGCGCCTGGCTCTGTGTCTGTGTCTTTAGCTCCACAATTCTCTCAGTTTAGGGAGGTATATTCTGGTTTCCCAGTTAGTAGCACTTGCATCTAGTTATTCAGGTAGGTGGTAGAGCCCAGAGAGAGCCAATACTGGACTTTAAAGCCTGCCACATGGTCTTAAGTTTAAATGGGAGACAGCCATATTTACTTCCTTGATGGTGGTACAAAACTCTTCATGTTGGCTTTCTACATTTTCATTGCCTCATCAAAGTGTCCCCATTTTTCTTGCCCATCTGATTTGTGCAGACCCTATATCCCATACTATTCCTTTCCTACCTTGCACATGCCTCTCCGCATTGGGGACTGAACCCAGGCCCCTGAACTTGAGCCTCTTCCTCAATCCCTTTGCTATTGTTTTCGAGGTAGTGTTTCACTCCCTTTTCCCAGGCTGGCCTCAAATCTGTGATCCTCACGCCATGCAGCTGGGATTAGGGGTGCGTGCTCTTTCAATAAGGCATGTTGTCAGCTATTTTTGAGATAGGGTCTGGCAATGTAGTGCAGCAAGCTGCAAACCTTTACATGGTTATAGCCTCAGCTTCTGAAATGCTGGAATCACCAGCAGGCACCATGGTGTAGGCTCAGTCATGTTTTTCTGAATTAGATAAAAAAAAAATGTTGCCCATTAATTGCCATTCCTTTAACCAGCTGCCCATGTCTTAGGTGAAATAAAGCGTGCAGGGTGAAATTCGCATGAAAGGCTCCTTGGTGCATTTGGGAGTCAAAGCATTGATTTTTCGACAGTTGGTTTACACGGTTCTTTGGACGATTTTGGATTACAGCAGCTCCAACCAAAAATGGAGAAAAACGTTCTTGACCCATTATCTTATTTCATGCACAGGTCCACAGCGGTAGACGAGCCAGGTAACGCACCTTCCATTGTCTGGTACCCATTTCCCTGCTCATAACCCCCTGCCGTCCCCGCCCCCAACACACTTCATACATGGCCGGTGCCAAGTTCTGTAGGTGAAAGCCAGTGGACGGGGCTATTTACTACCCACTTATTGTAAAGTGCTAGAACTGCATCCCCATACCCGGTCCCCTCCGGGGTGAGTACTGTTCTTGACCTGCCCTGCCCTGCCCGGAGCTGGGAAGCCAGGGCTCCGCGGCCCGCGGCCCCGCGCCATCTTTCTGCCCAACCTGCACGGCGGCGGGAGCGGCAGCGTCCCGAGGGGCCCGGCACCAGTGTCTGCGCCAGCGCGGCGGTCCCTCGGCCGAGCCTTGTCCCCGGCCCTCCGTCCCCTCCGTCGGGCCCTGTGCCCGGCCCTCCGTCCCCTCGGCCGGACCCCTGTCCCCGGTCCCTCCGTCCCCTCGGCCGGACCCCTGTCCCCGGTCCCTCCGTCCCTTCGGCCGGGCCCCGTCCCCGGTCCCTCCGTCCCCTCGGCCGGACCCCTGTGCCCGGCCCTCCGTCCCCGGTCCCTCCATCCCCTCGTCCGGCCCCCTTGCCTGGCCCTCCGTCCCCTCGGCCGGGCCCTGTCCCAGGTCCTCCGTCCCCTCGGCCGGGCCCTGTCCCCGGTCCCTCCGTCCCCTCGGCCGGGCCCCGTCCCCGGCGTCCCCTCGGCCGGGCCCCGTCCCCAGTATCGGGAAGTCGGGCGGTAGGCCCGGTTCTCTCCGCGGCCCGGCTCCGCTCGGTCCCGCAGGGCTGGGCTGGGCCTGCGGCGGGGCGGGGCGGGGCGGGGCGGGGCGGGGCGGGGCGGAGGCGCGGAGGCCCGGGGGCGGGGATTTCTGGCACTTTCTGGGCGCTGCGAGCTGCTCCCTGGCGCGGAGGCCGGAAGCGCCCGCCCGGAGCCGCCGCGGCCCGTCCTTGTTCGGCGCGGAGGCCGCGCCGCCCGCGCCGCCATGGCCAAGTGGGGCCAGGGGGACCCGCGCTGGATCGTGGAGGAGCGGGAGGACGGGACCAACGTGAACAACTGGCACTGGTGCGGCGGGCGCGGGCGCGTCGGGGGCTGGGCCCCGGGCCCCGCGGGCCTCCGGTGCCCCTGGGGCCTCGCGGCGGCGGGGGGCTGGGTCCGCCCTGGGCGGGGGCCGCGGGGAACGGCTGCCGCCGGCCCGGGCCCCCGCTCCGAGCTGCCCCAGCCTCCCGGGCTCCGTGCTCCTCTGAAAGTTGAGCTAGGCCCCACGAGTGACTTCTGACGCACCCTGTCGCTCCCCGCGGCCCGGGACCTGTGCCCCGCCTGGGGTCCCACACGCCTGTGTCCCGGGCTGGCGCAGGCGCGGGGGGCCGGGGTCAGTGGCTGGAGACGCAGGAATGGGGGTCTCACCGCCCCATCAACTGGCCGCCTTTGTGACCGAACTCTTGCCGTCCTTCTTGGGTTCCCCTCTGGAACCTGGGGTGATGTCTGCCCAAAGACTCGGGAGACAGGTTCCCGGGGCCAGGTCCCCCCACGGCCAGCAAAGGGCTGCTGAGGAATCTGGAAAGGCAGCGCCGGGGCCGGGCCCTGCGGGGGATGACATGGCTATCCTGGCCGGGCCCGGCCTGTGCACACTGACTGATCTTTTAGGTCCGTTCCTGCCCCCCTTCCCAGGTGCGAATATGAATTAGGGCGAATGGTGTGGCAGAGTGACGATGTGGGAAGGCTTGCCAGTTGGGAGGGTCAGCATGATTGGGGCGCATTACCACTTTCCCGCAGCTCCTCAGCGTGGCCTACCCATTTTCTAGGGGTGATGAGGGTGGGAACCTCTCCCCCAAATATCTTTTTTTTTTTTTTTTAATGGTGTCTTAAGGAAGGAGTAAGAGGACTAGAATATGCCCGAGAGAAGCCTAGTTGCCCAAGTGTGAGAGTGGTGGGGCTTTGGAGGCTACTTGAGAGCCCTGGGTCTGACCTGGTCCGGGCGCCCTCGCCGGGTAGGATGCCATTGGTGCTTTCCATTCACAACTGTGCCCTTGCTTTCCTGGACAGGACAGAGCGAGACGCCACCAGCTGGTCCAAGGGGAAGCTCCGAGAGCTGCTCGTGGGCATCGTGGTGGAGAATGAGGCCGGCAGGTGTGAGATTGGCGAGCTGAAGCAGGTGGAAGGCGAGGCATCTTGTAGCAGCCGCAAAGGAAAGCTGATTTTCTTCTATGAGTGGAACATTAAGCTGGGCTGGAAAGGTAACTGGGGACTCAGGGTACAGGCAGGGCTGTGAGAAGCCAGTCCATTCAGTTGGTGGTAGTGGTTCTTGAGAAGCACTTGGAGCGGCTTAGTTTCAGAAGCTGAAGCTGTGCTTTCTCCCAGCACTCAAGCTCCACGGAGGTCGCTCTCAGCTGGACCTTTTTCCATCACTACCTGTGGACTAGGGCAACCTGGAGCTGAAGCCTGGAGCTCTCTCTGTGCAGCTGTTAGCTACCTGAGTGACGCCATCTCTCTCCAACCTGTACCTCATTGCTTCCTACTTCATTTTGCCTAAAGCGCTGATACTTGGTATACCATTTATGATTTCCTAACGATTTTTTCCCTCTACCTCCATCTTCATCAGGGCAGGAATGAAAAAACAAGTATATACTTGAGTGATTATTCCGTATATGCACCGTTTTGCAACGGTCATGCAGTCGATTTTAGGGCATTTTATTACCCCAGAAAGAAGCCCTGTACTATTAGCAGTCACTTCCATTTTTCTCTTTCCCCAAATCCCTAGCAGCTATTCTTCATCTTTTTGTCTCTTTGGATTTGCCTCTGGGCATTTCATATAAATGAAATCCTGTATTATCTGGTGTTTGGTGTCCGTCACTTCATTTTTCAAAGCATTTATGTAGCATATATATCACTTTATTTTGTAGCTGCTTGATACTGTATGGATATAACACATTTTGTCTATTAATCCATCCATTGATGGACATTTCAGTTGTTAATAGTTTGGGGTCTTTTGCTAAATTCTGTAGTGATACAATTTATGTTCAGTAAGTATTGTTAAATAACCAAGGGGCTAGTGACATGGGAAAAGAGAAGGAACAAAAAGAGAGAGATCTGGTTGTGGAGGACTGTGCACTGTTAAAATTTGAGACTTAAGTTGGGCACTGGTGGTTCACGCCTGTAATCCTACCTACTCAGAAGGCTGAGATCAGAGGATCATGGTTTGAAGCCAACGAGGCAGGGGTCTATGAGACTGTCATCTCCAATTAATCACCAGAAAACCAGAAGTGACCCTGTGGTTCAAAGTAGTAAAGTATTACCCTTGAGCAAAAAGGGCTCAGGAACAGTGCCTAGGCCCCAAGTTCAAGCCCCATAATCCCCCCCCACATGCGCACACACGCACACACACACGCACACACACGCACACGCACACGTGCGCACACACGCACACACACACACACACACATTGGGACATCCCTGGAGTCTTTCTGGAGAGTTTGTCTTAGAAACTCAGTGAGCTGGCCTTTGCCTCTGCTCTTGGCTGTCTTGGTGTCAGGAGCCAGGCCAGAGTCCAGGAAACTATTCAGCAAGCATCAAAAACAGTCCCACAATGCTAGGCATCATGGCATAGGCCTATAATGCCTGTAATCCCAGCACTAGGGAAGCTGAGGCAGAAGGATTGCGAATTCAAGAGCAGCTTGGATTACAAAGCAAGATCCAGTCTCAGGAAAAAAAATCCCACCCATTTCTAGGGTCTCCCAGCTGAGAGTTTGTCCTCAGTTACTCCCCTGGTAGCTACTGCTGGCTGGATTATATCAGGGTCTGGCTTTACTCTCCCCAGGACAGGGCTCCAGGAACTTCATGGACAGTGTCTCTTCATCTCCCTTGGCTTAAAACAAACAGGTCCTTTCTGGGATGAAGAAATAGATTTCCAGGCCAGGAGGGGAAGCGGGCACTGATAACTGCTGTGGCAGCAGCTTTGGGGACACCATTAAACAACTGGAAATATTTTTCTGAAGTGGCTGTCATGGAACTGGACCAGCTATTTGGTATTCTCAGTGTCCCTGAAGTTGCCAAGAACTTGAGGTCCAGCAAACCCAGGCAGTGATAGAGACCAGACTGCATGAAATTGTGGAAGCCATGGCTGCCTATGGCAGGGCTGAGAAGTGAAGCCAGCAGGCAGGGTCCTGTCCTGAGGCCTGTCCTCCTGTGCGCTTGCACCTCTCCCCGTCCTGCATATGTCATACCCCTCCGGTTTGTAGGCATGTTAGGTCATAACTGAAGATGCGGTCTTCTTGCTCCATTTTCATTTTAACATTTCATCTCCTGTACCCACATGCTTCAGAAAAATCTTGTTGTTTGCAATCTGGGCCATAAACTCTTGAGTCCAGGGAGAGCCCTCATCCCAGCAAGTTGAGAGGTGCTAACAAGTTTTGCTAGTGTTTGTTGACTAAGGACCTACTTAAAAGGGGATGGGAGGATCCACACTAAGGCTGAAGGTGAAGAGAAGCCCAAGCACGCATTTGTTCTCTGGAAGCTAGTCAGTCCTGTACTTTCCTGTACTCAGGTCTCACTTAGGGTCTCTAGTCATTCCAGTGAAGATGAATGTGTAATTTAAAGGTGCGTGGTAATTTAAAGCAACAATTTCCTTCCACACCCTAGCGGAGCTTGCTCTCAAAGACTGTGATAAATCCTGAGGGTGTGTGTGTGTTGCATTTATTTTTCAGGAGAAAAAAAGGCAGTTGAAATCCATCCTCAGAAAAGAAAATTTCTCTGCTAGGCATAGGAGCTCACCCTGTAATTCTAACTACTCAGGAGGCTCAGACCTGGAAGAATCAGCTGGGGCAGAAAAGCCCTTGAGATACTGTTTTCACTTAACTACCAAAATGCCATACTGGGGATGTGGTTTGAGTAGAAGAGCATCAGCTGTGAGTAAGAAAGCTCATTGAGAACACAAAACCCAGAGTTCATACACATACATACCATTTCTGATGCTCATGTGGAATATACTCCTTGACCTTTAGAGGGCAGGAGTGTAGCCTGCTGTTTCTCTTTGAACCTTTTCTACCCGTTTTGTGGCATAGATGGTGTCCAAATGTGTCTGATTTCTGAATCGTATTCTGATTGCTTGGTCCTGCCACTCAAACCCCGTACTCAATATATTAAATGTTTTTTCCAGATAAGTATAATAAAGGAGTGATGTGCTATTAGAACAACAGCAGAAGTCCTAGGCACAGTCTGAAGGCAAGCTATGAGGGCTTGTCCTGACCCCCTCCTGTTCCAGAGGTGCAGCACTCTAGTCCTGGAGGAAATACAACTGCATGGAGTCTACACGAATTTCCCTAAGCCATAGCCTCCCCTTTGCTTTCCGTAATGAGAATTCATTGTCCCTTCTGTCCTCCCATCCCTTCTATGATTTGTCCCCTTTACATACCTTTCATCTTGGTTTGACTTGGCAAACAGCACTGTGGGACAAGATTAGAAACATGGGTTATAGACCAGGGCTCTCACTTCCTAAACTCTGTGTCTGGCTGCTCTTGCCTGACCTGTCTTGGCCAATCCCCTTGGATGTGGCCACTGCTCTGGGAGGGAGGTTGAGTCCTGTGTGCACTATTCAGGGCATAATAATAATTTTTTTTAATTGAACCCATTTTCACTTTAGGTACAACCAAAGAATCTAGTGCAAAGCACAAGGGATTGATTGAAATACCCAACCTTTCTGAAGAAAATGAAGTAGATGACACTGAGGTATTTGACGGAGTTTCTTTTTTTCTAATCAAGCTTCTGTGACAGATATTGGGTGTTTCTAAACTGTGTAATTCTGGTGTGGTAGTTATAAATTGTGGAGGGTTATTTGACAGGAAGGATCACTTTCCTGTGAGGACAGCATGGTGTGTGGCTCCCCAGTGATGTGGGAAAAGGAGGAAGCCTTGGGCCAGAGTTGTCACCTGGGCAGGTGACTACACCCTACATAGCTACCTCATTTGTAAAGTTAGGTCAGTTCATTCTTCGTGGGGGTCAGCAGGTTAAATGTGACCAGGTATGTGCTATTCAGTGCTCAGGCTGCTTGCAGGCCTTGCTAACTATGATTTTGTTTCTCTTCCCCTGTTTCCCCTTTAATGGTGACATTTCTCAGCTTTGGTATGTCTTATAGTAAATGTTGCTGTTTTCTGGCTCTTTTCAGCCTCCTGGGAGATGGAACTGGTGTAATTCTTATGCCTGGCTTGCCTTTTCATGTAGAAAGCTTTGTTTGGGGGTGAGACCATTTGTACAGCTGTATTTTCCAGATCAAGGTGGTCTTTTGTGCATATATTTAACACAAAGGCTTCAAGATATAAGAACTTAATAGTAAGCAGTAGGTCTTGTGATTCACCTTTAAGTGAAGGTTATCTATCAAACTGCTGTAATGGCGGATCTATCTTACACCTTCAGACTTGTGGTTGCTACACTCAAGGACTGTGATTTCACTTTACTAAATTCAGATCATCTGCTGAGAAGCTTATGAACAGCATATTAACCTAGTCTTTTAGAGTTTCCCCTCAGCTTTCTGGAACAGACTAGATGCAAATGAGATTTGAGTCAGGCTCAGCTCAATTAAATCACTGGGCCCCAGCAAATCTTCATTCTGACAATATCAGAATACTTGATTCTTCCCTCTCCCTCTGGCTCCTCCTTACTCTGTTCTTCTCTGTCCTTTCCCTTACTGAATTTTTAATTCTTGTGCCTACGAGGGACTCCAGGCTATAAAGGAATTTGATTTTCATAATTATGGTGGCTTTGGGGTTTTAGAGTAGTGCTGTTCAGTATAAATATTTACAAGACTCATATTTGATCCAGATTTTTTGGGGGGGCATCGATCATGGGGCTTGAACTCTGGGCCTGGGCACTGTCCTCAGCTCTTCAGCTGGGCAAAAAAGTCCATGAGACTCTTATCTCCAATAGCTAGTAAAAGCTGGAAGTGGCACTGTGGCTTAAGTGGTTGAGTGCTAGCCTTGAGCAAAAGAAGCTCAAGGACAATGCCTAGGCCCTTAGTTCAAGTCTCAGGACCAGCCAAAAAGAAAAAAAGAAAAAAAAATTAACCCTTATGCTGGCTGCTGATGGCTTATACCTGTAATCCTAGCTACTCAGGAGGCTGAGATACAAGGATTGTGGTTCAAAGTCAGATCAAGCAGGAAAGTTCGTGAGACTCTTATCTCCAAGTAACCACCAGAAAATGAGAAGCAGAGCTGTAGCTCAAAGTGATAGAACACTAATATTGAGCAAAAGGGACAGTGCCCAGGACCTGAGTTCAGGCCCCATAATTTCCAAAAAGAATTTTTCTACTCTTACATCCTTTACAATTACATTATGAAGAAACCTGTACATGTCCAATGCCATCTCCTCCCCTCTGCCATTTTCACATATCTCTATCCACAGGACCCAGTGTTGTAAGAGTACATGAAACCAGATTTTTCTTAGGTTTTTATTTTTCTGATTTGTAGGTGAACGTGAGTAAAAAGAAAGGAGATGGGGATTTACTGAAGGATCTTATGAAAACTGCAGGCACCGCCAAGGTCAGGGAGGCCCTGGGAGAGTACCTGAAGGCACTTAAGACGGGTAAAGAAGGCATCCTTGTGAATAAGAGGGTCCTTTTTCTGTTTACCCAAGTTATGCTTTGCACTGTGGTCTGGATTCACAGGTCTTTATACGGTAGAATAAATTGTAGTCTGGATGTCTAGAGCTAGTCATGTGATTAGTGATCTTCAGTATGTGTACAACATGAACTATTTTGCTCTCAGGATGCTAAGTAGTTTTCTGGAATGAAATTATTCAGTTGTTTGTGTAATTACTTGTTTAATGTCTGTCTTTTCTGCTAGACTATAATCTCCATGAGAACATGGAAGTTGTCTGTCTTATTCACTGCTGTATCTCCAGCATCTAGCACAATGCCTGGCACATAGTAGGTGCTTAATAAGTCTTTGTTGAATGAATGTATGAAAGTGACTGCAGGTATTACAGGTGTAGTTGAGATATACATCTAGATGATTCCGATACTGCATGGAAGCAAGGTTATTAGAGAATTAGAGAAGCTACCAGACAGGCACTATGTCTAGCAGGGCCCTTTCTGTGCACCTCATCCTTGTACCCTCTTGCTGAGTGTCTGGGTGCTGGCAGAGTTTTGGGATTGCCACTCTTCCCACAGTATGAGGCCACATGGTATGGATGGCATACAAAGACTAAGATTTGTGAGGTATGGGGAAGCAGTAAGAGAGGGCCACAATGCTATTAGTTAATCATACAACATTGTTACTTGGAACTTTTGTGAACTTTACACTTTTCTTTTTTTTTTTTAGTTGCATGATAGAAGTGTAAGGTATTTGAAAAAAGAATAAAAGGCCTTTGTTACTGTGGAACATGGAATGATTTTGAAGTCCTCTAAATGCTAATAGAAATTCTTTAAAAATTTTTATTAAATACTAGTTCTTTATTTTCTCATGTGATTTTGTTTTCTACTTTATCCTCTGTGCTTCAGAGGAAATTGTTTTATTGTTTTAATAAAACCATTTTTTGCCTTTATAGAATTTACAACAGGAATGATTTTACCAACAAAAGCTGTGGCAAGTCAGGAACTGACAGTTAAAAGGAAACTGAGTGAGAACACCTTGCAGGTATGAGTTTTGGTGGCCAAAATAAGTCAGAGCTCTACACAACCTTTCGATGAGCAACTGAAGGATAGTGAGGAAGGGTGTTAATCTGCACTTCCATCTTCTGTGAGCCTTTGAAATTTTCCATTTGGTTATAGAAATCATGAGACATATTCTTTTGTATGTTGCTGGGAGTAAACCCAGGGCCTTGTGCATGTTAGCCCTACCACTGAGCTGTATGCCCAGCCTTAGACTTCCATTCTTTTTTTTTGGGTTCGGTCGTGGGGCCTGAACTCTGGGCCTGGGCGCTGTCCCTCAGCTCTTCAGCTCAAGGCTAGCGCTCGATCACTTGAGCCACAGCGCCACCTTGGCTTTTTTTTTTGTTTATGTGGTGCTGAGGAATCGAACCCAGGGCCTCAGGCATGCAAGGCAAGTGCTCTACCACTGAGCCACCTTCCCAGCCCCAAGACTTCCATTCTTGATAGAAGGGAATGTATAAACAGGCCTTTTTTTTTCCGGATACTAAATTTAACTCAAGACTCTCCTAAAGGCTGTGCGTTTGGTAGGTAAGAATACAAATGGAATAACTTTCTCTCCTACCTTTGGGGAGATTTTAGATCTTATTATTGGGACTGAGGAACATGGGTATGTCTATGTGTATAACTATAGCCTTCAGCAGGCAACCTCCATTATATCATCTGGCCATATTTACCATGTCCAAATAGGATTAAGGGTGCTCCATCGAGCCTGGTAATAGATCAGTTAATGAGCTCATAGGAACAAGAGCACTGTTGCTGAAGGATTAGAATAGCACTGTTAGAGCTAAGTGGGAAGGCCTTTCACTCTGTCTTCTTGGGTGTGAAATAGTGTGGAATTTGTGGCATGTTTCGTTCAAAAGCATTTTATTGAGAAGACTTGACTTCATCCTAGCATTGTTCTCTTCTGGTATGCTTACTATCCTCTGGAACCTCTTCTTGAGGTTCAGGCCTCATCTCCAGTGGCTTTGGGTGTGAGGATTCCCACTGTGGCTGTACACATGACGGAGCTGTTTGACACAACAGTAGACCAGCTATATAGCATCTTCACTGTGAAAGATGTAAGTAACTTCCTGAGCTAATGTCCTAAATTCTCACCCTGGGAACAGATGTGTCATAAAGAACGGGCTGGATTTTTTTTTTTTTTTTGTTGGCCATGGGGCTTGAACTCAGGGTTTGGGTGCTATCTCTGAGCTTTTTCACCTAAGGCTAGTGCTCTACCACTTCAGCCACAGCACTACTTCTGGCTCTTTCTGAATAGCAATAAACTATAAAGAGAGAAGAGTCTCCAATAAAGAGAGGAGTCTCGTGGACTTGTCTAGGCTGGTTTCAAACGATGATCCTGAGATCTCAGATTCCTGAGTAGCTAGGATTATAGGCATGAGCCACTGGCACCTGGCTGTTGTCTCTTTTGGTCATATTTTATGAGAACTCTGAGATGGTAGGGATATCAACCAATAATGACTTCTGGATAATTTGAGGGGAGAGATGGGTATTGTTTTCTCCTTGAGAACAAAAAGCTACGTATTAAAACAAAAGCCTGAAACTCCATGGTGTTCTATTACACATTTTATGTTTAGATTAAAAAGGTAATAGGGATGGGGATGTAGCTCAGTGGTAAAGCACATGCCTAGCATGACCAATGCTGAATTTGAGCACACACACTCTCTCTCTCTCTCTGATGAAATGTCTTCATTTTGCTTGGATAGCTGGTGCAGAAATTTTCCAAATCTCCTGCTATATTGGAAGCTGAAAAGGGAGGGAGATTCCAAATGTTTGATGGGAATATCACTGGTGAATACATAGAATTGGTAAGTATCACAGGACAGGGTTAACGTATAAACACGTAACTAACCCTTCTTTTGGTTAATAAAGTTTTTGTCAATGTTATTTTGAGTTCATAGATCAAAAAATACATGAAAGTTGTAGAACAAATTAGAAATGTTACACTGATAGGCTGGGAAGCTGGCTCACTGGTAGAGCACTTGCCTTGCATGCTTGAGGCCCTGGATTCGATTCCTCAGCACTGCATAAGCAAAAAAGAAGCCGGAAGTGGCTCTGTGACTCAAGTGGTAGAGCACTAGCCTTGAGCTGAAGAGCTGAGGGATAGAGCCCAGGCCCAGAGTTCAGGCCCTACGACCGGACCCCAAAAAACAAACAAAATGTTACACTGATAGTCTTTAAGTTTTATAGAAATTGTGCAAATGCGTAGTATTTGAAGATGGGTCTTGCCAGATGCTGGTGGCTCACACCTGTAATCCTAGCTGTTCAGGAGGCTGAGATCTGAGGATTGAAGTTCAAAGGCAACCTAGGCAGAAAAGTACATGAGACTCCTCATCTCTAATTAACCACCAAAAAAGATGAAAGTGGAGCTGTGGCTCAAGTGGTAGAGTGTTAGCCTTAAGCAAAAAAAAGCTCATGGACAGTGCCCAGACCCTGAGCTCAAGCCTCCAGCAGGACCAGCACATAGGACAGACAGAAGGAAGAAAAGGAAGGGAAGAAATGGGTCTAACCTCTTACCCATTTTAAATCCCAGGTTTAGCCTATCAAAATGTCCTGGTTCTGCTACCTAAATTATTACCTAAATTATTCAAAGTGTTAGTGCCTTTCCTTGACACTGGCTTTCTGTTGTTGGTAGTCTGTCCTTGGTATTAATGTTGTGAATATTTGGCAGTAAAGACTAGGCTGTTCAAAGGATTCACTTCTTCTGTGTTTTCTGTGGGAAGTTTCATACTATGTTTTCAGTGGAATTTCCCCTTTGCTTTCAGTTAACAAATAGAAAGATCATCATGAAATGGAGATGTAGGAACTGGCCAGAAGGTATGTGATGTGACCTTCGTGTATAGAGAACCAGTAACATAGAAGCTGGTATGAGTAAGTCTTCCTTTTCCTAATGTAATAATAAAGCTCCTGTTTTTCTTCTAGAACACTATGCAACTGTTGCACTGAGTTTTGTGCCTACTCTAGGGCGGACGGAATTACAATTGGACTGTAAAGGAGTTCCTGTCTGTAAGGAAGAAAACATGCGATCCTGTTGGCAGAAGCAGCACTTTGAAGAAATAAAAGGTTTACTACAGCCGACCACCCTAAGTGGTTGAATTAGGTTTTATAACGGCATTGCTTTTTATAAGCTGTCATGTTTACCTCTTCCTTAAAAAACAAATCGCTGTAATTTATTTTATATTGGATGGAATCCATGAACCTATAATTAGACTCTGCATTGAGTTAAAAGTAGTAAAATCCTGAAATTAGGTATTAATCTCCCCTTCCTCCATAGATGTTCCTCTGAAAGTAGATCAAGTCTGTGTGTTCAGATAGTTGATGTGTCCCAAGCTAAAGCTTGTCCTAGTAAGCTTACTTTTTCAGCTGTACTTTTAAGTCTGAAGAAGACAAAAAAGAAATGGCATGCATTCTATTACTTTAGGGTTTTTAAGATGTAGCTCATAGGTATGTAGGTCTATTTGTGGCATGTTTCACTCAAAAAGATGTTAAAGTGAGGCTAGCTGGTTGTATTCATATTATACTGCTCTGGTCCACTTTGGGATGGAGTGGATTGAGATGGGTTAAGTTGCTTTTTTGGACTACCACTAATTCTTGTACTGAACTAGACAACTGCTTATTCCCCTTCTTCAGTTAACTCATTACTTTAATCTGAGAAGACTGAAGCAACGTATGTAAACAAATGAAAAGTCATCACAATCAATTTAATTAAGTGCACAGAATAGCAGTCATGTCAATAAAAATAAAACAATTATTTTTACATCAAGTGTGCTTTATTTCCTCCACAGGTATTCTGTTAAATAAAGCACCATTTATATACTGCCAGGCCACAGCTAAAGAGGATTCTTTACAGAATCAAATTTCTTGTGGTTGTTCCGTATACAAGTAAACTTAATTTTATAATAAGAACCACAGCGATTGGAGGCAATCTGCCTCTATTATAAGGTACAAAACTGGCACAGAGGACACCATATTATACACAGTAAAAATGCTGTAAGTTTAAATTACATTTTACAGGGCTAGGGAACCCTGTTTCTCCCAGACAGCCATATTAAACAAAAGCCACTACAGTGAACTCTTAATTACATAAAACATATTCATTATCTGATTGCCCTTTAGAAAGTTACTGAAGATGCAAGTTTTGTTTTTTTTTTTTTTCATCTGGAGTTCTGCCTGACCAAGAATTAAGCCTATAAATCTATCTTGCCATTCAAGCAGAGAGCACTGGACAAACTGAAGCACAAAAACAAATAAGCAAAACTTATACAAACAGCATCAGGAGAAGGGACTTAAAAGTAGACATGCTACATCTAATGTCAAGAAGCAGCTTGGTTTCCTTTGCCAGATATCCTTGTGACCATGTGGATTGTAGATTCAATGGTCCTACACAGGGTATCTAAAATGTCATGTTGCTGCATGTGACTAAAGTGTCCTCTGGAATGGCCACAACTGAGTGACAAAGCAGCTTCAGGGTCTGGGGAGGACAAAGCTTGACCATCACAGCTTCTCAAGTCAGCTAAGTCAGACAGAACAGCAGAGATGGAAGTAGAAGGGAACTCAGGTTCCTCTTCAGCTAGGGTAGAATCCTTGGAACAGTGGAGGTCTTTAAATTCTTTACAATCTTCAAATCTACCATTGTTGGACTGTTCTTCTGTATGCTGTGACCTGATGTTTGCTATGTCTTCTGAAAACGAAGATGGAACTTCCATTCGGTATTCTTTAACAGAACTATTTTCAGGGGAAGGAAGATCTTGCTCAGTGCCTGGATCAATAATTGAAGAGTCTCTTGTCTCATTGTCTGAAGTGCTGGTTGGGGTCAGGACCTCCCTCGTTTCTGTTTTGATGTCGCTGATGCAGCTGTCTACAGTGTGTTCCTCATCACTGCTAACGCGCCTTCTTTTAACAGGAGTTGCCCCTTCATCATCTGTGAACACAAACATCCAAGTGGAAACTCCTCTCAAAGGGGCCATTTAATATCATACGGAGGGTAGCAATGGAGAAGCCAAATCCAAACTATATATATATGTGTGTGTGTGTGTGTATTATATATATATAAATGTGTGTATACACACACACACATATAAAATAAAGTCAGTTACACCAAATGTATTCTTTCATCTCCAACCCAAAGTAATTAATCTGTAAGACTAACCTTTAGTTTTTCTTTCTTTGGCTTCTTGCTCTTGGAGTGAGTTTCTCTGTTGTAGACACATTCTACATTTGCTTAAAAGCTCTTGCAGAGTTGGGATTAGAGCTGGGTTTAATTGTTTGGGAGTGTGTACTGACAGGAGTAAAGCAAGTGCCCGTAGGTCCTACAAAAATCCAAATAGGAATATCTCATTTTAAAGCTAACATTCTGACAAAGCATTTCCGTTAAATGAAAACATTTACTTTCCTTGGGGTCTGAACTAAGGGTCTGTGCTTGTAGGCCTTGTGCTTTTGATTCACTGCATCCCTCCCATCAGCTGAGGCACGAAAGCACTTCCACTTGAAACAGAACTTGGAATAAGAGTCTTGGATCTGTCTGCCCCAGCTGGCTTCTCAATATGATTCTCAGCTAGGATTTATAGGCATGAGCCACCAGCACTGGGCCCTGTTTTTTTTTTTTTGGGAGGGTGGGGGTGGGGTGGGGAGAAGTGTTGCTGTTATCAGTCATGGGGCTTGAACTTGGAGCCTGAGAGCTGTCCCTGAGATCTTTGGCTCAAGGCTAGCCCCCTACCACTTTGAGCCACAGTGCCACTCTGGTTTTCAGGTAGTTAACTGGAGATAAGAGTCTGACGGACCTTCCTGCCCGGCTTTGAACCATGACCCTCATTCTTAGCCTCCTGAATAGCTAGGATTACAGGCATGAGCCTCTTACTCCTGGCCACTGGTTTGTTTTTGATAGGTACTGCTAACTTTTTGACCAACCTGGCCTATAAATTATCCTCCTATCTTTACTTCCTAAGTAGGTAGGAATATAGGTGTGAGCCACCGTAGCTGGCCTAATTCCCTAGTTTCAACTGCCCTTGTAATCAGTAAATCATTTGTCTATTTGTTCTGGTTATTAAGGCGCTACAGGCAACAACAAACATCACAAGTGTTCTAAACATACAAATGAAAAAGGGAATGATTCTTACTGGCCTTACTGCCCCTTAACATACTTAAAGCCATTATCTCAGATCTTCTAAGGTAGTAGAAAATATGTGTTGTTGGATGCTGGTGTCTCATGCCTGTAACCTTTAGCTATTCAGGAGGCTGTGATTGGAGGATCAAGTTCAAAGCCAGCCCAGGCAGGAAAGTCTGTGAGACTCTTATTTTTTGGGGGGGGGGGGGGGGGGGTTCGGTCATGGGGCCTGAACTCTGGGCTTGGGCGCTGTCCCTCAGCTCTTCAGCTCAAGGCTAGTGCTCTACCACTTGAGCCACAGCGCCACTTCCGGCTTTTTTCTTTTTGCTTCTGTGGTGCTGAGGAATCAAACCCAGGGCCTCACGCATGCAAGGCAAGCGCTCTACCACTGAGCCACCTTCCCAGCCCCGTCTGTGAGACTCTTATCTCCAATTAACAACCAGAAAACGGGAAGAGGCACTATGGCTCAAAGTGCTTAAGAGCTCACGGAGCGCTCAGGCCCAGAGTTCAAGCCCTATGACCAACAAAATAAAAAAAGAATTAATTATATACATGCAAGTCATATTAAAAACCTTTTTGAAAATTTGTTATTTTTTCATCCTACGTGACTTCCAAGAAGTGAGTGTAGCTCAAGTGGTAGAGTACCAGCCTTGAGCACAAAAGCCAAATGAAATTGCAAGGCCCCCAAGTACAAGCCCCAGTACCCATACAAGAAACAAACAGCCAGATCTGGTGGCTTATGCCTATAATGGTAGCTACTCAGGAGGCTGAGATCTGAGGATCATGACTCAAAAATCCATGAGACTCTTATCTCCAATAAATTCCCCAAAAAGCTGGAAGTGGAACTGTGGCTCAAGTGACAGTGCGATAGCCTTCAGCAAAAGATGCCAAGGGACAGCGCCCAGGCCATGAGTTCAGGCCCCTAGACCAGCAAAACAAAACCCCCAGAACGGTAAGTTTTATAGTAGTTACAGTCACAATAGTAAAATATTATAAGGGCCAAATATAGAGTTGGCTTAAGGAAACTTTAGAAGTTTCCTTGAATAGTTCTTACCCCATTTAAAGAAGCACTTGCTTTGGAAATTTCAACTCGGTTGGTAAAATCAGATTGTAGGTTTTGATACTGATTTATCAAGTTTGTAATAAGGGTACTGATCAAATTGGCACAGTTTGCTTCAGAAAACACTTGACTTTGAACCTGAAAAAGATACATTTTTAAAAGAAGACCAACATAATAAAAATGGAAATGACACATGATAGTTTCTGAAGTACCACATACCTTTAGAAGGAAATGTGTCATGAATGTGTAGACTATATTGTTGTTTAGAAAGGTTCTTTCATCCATTAGGATACATTTAATATATTCAGCGAAAACAGGATCTTCACACAAAAGTTTGATGCAGTTTTTTGACATGGCAGACTAAAATAAGGGAGAAGAAGCACTGGTGGTTGAGCCCTGAAGTAATCAGACTTAAAACATTTTGGATGTCAGGACATCCTGAAATCACTTTTTGAATAGTCACTTACAACTTAAAAAGTCTGTTCAACTTTTCTTACAATAATCACCATATATTAAATAGATGAATGCTAGGGGAAGATATGAATACCAAAAGTGGAAAAATATATTAAAAAAAATATGCAGCTCTGTTATCCAGCACTGAGTTACCTAGAACTAGAAAGTAACAGTAACAAAATAGGTTGAGAATAGGGATCCAACTAATAGGAAACCAAACTGTAGAGAAAATTTAGGAACTGAGATATGTTCTATATATAGTTGTATTATTCTCTGACAATTATGATTTGGTGAATAACTACCCTCTATATAAGTACTGAAATGTTAAGCAGTAATAGCTTTTTCTGTGTATCTCAGATATTCCTGTGTTCGAATGGTCAAAGCTCTTACACAGATATAATTCCCTGGAGTGCCTTTTCTAATTAGACTTTTTTATGGAAAATGAAAATTAAAAATAGGGTAACTTTTAACTAGTATACATATGTGTATTTATTATAGTAAGCAAAAATTTTTTCTTGTACTGATACTGGGGCCTGAACTCAGGGCTAGCTGCTGTCCTTGGCTTTTTCACTCAAGGCTAGCACTCTACCACTTGAGTCACAGCTCCATTTCTGGCTTTTTGCTGGTTAACTGGAGATAAGTCTCATTGATTTTCCTGCCTGGGCTGGAATCCTTGGATCCCAGCTTCCTGAATAATTAGGATTACAGGTGTGAGCCACCAGTTCCCAGCCTGCTATATAAGCTATTGTTAAAAAAAGGAAAAAAATGTTCAACGTCACTTGAGTACTAGGAGTATGGACCAGGACCCAAGTCTTCACATCATTATTGCTATGAAAATCTGTAGTGTCTGTGTAAAGAATAGCAGCAGTAGAAAGGGAAAAGCAGAGCTCCCCAATTTACTAAATAGACCACACAGTTCAAAAGTCAAACAGGAGCTGGGAATGTGGCTTAGTGGTAAAGTGTTGCCTAACATGCATAAAGCCCTGGTTTTGATTCCTTAGTACCACTAAACAGAAAAAGCTGAAAGTGGTGCTGGGGCTCAAGTGGTAGAGTATTAGCCTTGAGCACAAAGAGGCTCAGGGATAGAGCCCAGGCCCTGAGTTCAAACCCCAGGACTGGAAAAGAAAAATATCAACCAGTA